GCTCCGCCTTCTCGTCGCGATGACGACTTCGCACCAGACATTGCGCCGTTCTCGTTAGACCTCCCCACAATATCGATCGCAGAACCTTCCATACCATCACTCTCACTCGACCTTCCACCTGAGACCTGCACGCCTGGTTTCAGCTCATACGCGACTCCCGGGCTCGATGGCTACGTGCCTGCGGAGGCATGCAATGCGTTGTGGGTATACTTTCCCAACTTCGCCGCGGCAGTAGCTTTCTCCGTGCTGTTTGGCATGCTCACGATCGCACATCTGGTTCAAGCAATAGTGTACCGCAATGGCTTCTGCTGGGTCATTATCATGGCCGCTCTTTGGGAAACTGGCGCATATGCGTTTCGCGCTCTTGGTTCCAAGGACCAACAATCCTCTGGCATTGCAACGGTCGCTCAGATCTTGGTGTTGGTAGCGCCTATCTGGATGAACGCCTTCGCCTATATGGTCTTCGCCCGCATCGTTCACTTCTACTCACCCACTCGCAAGGTCTGGATCTTCTCCCCCTCCATCCTCGCACTCATCTTCGTCACCCTCGACATCGTCTCTTTTGTCATTCAGCTCGTCGGCGGTGGAATGGCAGGTCCAGGCGCGAGTCCAGAAGCACAAAAGAAGGGCCTGAACATATACATGGGCGGTATTGGTATGCAGGAGGGCTTCATTGTTCTATTCCTGGGATTGGTCGTCAAGTTTCACCGCGACCAGCTCCAGGCGGGGAGGGTGGGACGCTTGCCCACGGACAAGATCGGTGGCTGGAAATGGTTGTTGTACGCGCTGTACGCATGCTTGCTGGCTATCACTATTCGCATCATCTACCGTCTCGCCGAGTTCTCCGCCGGTCTTGGCGCAAGCAACCCTCTGCCGAGCAACGAGCCTCTCCTGTACGTCTTGGAGTCAGCTCCAATGTGGTTGGCCATCTTCGTGTGGAACATAGTCCATCCTGGTCGCTTTATCCGTGGCCCGGACGCCAAGATGCCGCGTTCGTGGCTGTCACGTCATCTTTGCTGCTGCTGTGGCAAACGTCGTTGCGACGACTGCAATGGTAAGCTTGGCCACGCTGGACCTCATCATCAACGCCTAGGAGACGACTCGGATCTGGAAGACAACCAGGAAATGCATCCCGTACCGAAGAGTGCCGGAGGTCGTCATGCCGTCAGCCCGACAAATCCTTTCCTGGATGAAACATCTTGCGTCTCTTCCTCGAATCCCGACTCCAGGGAAGGGGACCGTCTTCGCCCTTCGTCGGCTGCCGCAAGTTTCCGCGATGTCAGCCCAGAGCCAACATCATATACTGCATACCGTCCTCGCGGGGTTCTGGGCTAAGCGGAACTAGTTCAATTCCCTTAGCTCGCTCCATTGGTAGCAGGTTCATTCGAGAACAGACAGTATACATTGGACATGAATGAAGAGAGGTTATCGAGTAGACTAGTGGTGGCTGTAGAACCGTACAATCATATATAGATATACATCATGGACTTGGGTGAACAAAAAGTAATGCTAGATGTGTGACGAAATAAACTGACTTTGAGCCAGACAGTCGTTTCAACCGTGTTTCTTCCGGGTAAACAGTGGTTCCAATGCATCCTTGGCCCACTTCCTGGTGACATCAGTGCTAATGAGGTAGCAGGTTCATCCAATATTAACCCCGACTTCACCGAAAGATTGAATGTAAAGTCTCAATCAATACCAAAGCTGATGTCTTCGATGATACACTTCAAAGACCGAAGATAGAAGTGCGAGCGTGGCTCATACACCTGACCTCAGCCCAAGGGCTTTCACGAGCAGCGGGGAGTTTCCGAGTTCAAGGACTCTCTGGTGATAATCGTGAGTGCTCATCTTGACGTTGCAAAGCGAAATATCAGCCTCGAGAGTCATGGCAATGAAAGACTGCCTACCGGCTAGCTTGCCATGCATGATGGACACTTCCTGCTTCATTGCCCCCCCTTCGTTCAAGCCAGTCCTTCCCATTGGACTTTGGGCCGATCACAACGGCGAGGTCCAAGTAGTCAGGATGCCCATGGCGAAGGTACTCGAGGTCTGCGCGACGACGACAGATCTTCTTGGATTGCATCTGATCCGGCGCTTCTGTTGACCATCCGTCTTCCGAGGAAACCGGATCCACTCCGTCACCTCTCCATGCGATGTCGGAGATACGCTTGGTTGGTGCGGGCGGAGGTCGTGGCGGCAGCGGCACTCCGTAGAAGCCGTTGATGAGCTTCTCGAGGGAGTTGTTGTTGGCCGTAGCTCCAGGGCTGATTATGGTTCGTGGGTGTGAAATAAGAGTTATGAGTTGATGGGGTAGGAAGTGGAGTGTAGGAGTCTTGGTTCTATCGAGCCTAGTGAAATATATCGCCAACCTGAGCGCGTACGGAGCGCTCTTCCACCTTGATCTTTAAATAGGGGAAGCATCCAATACCATGCTGCTACCTGCAATGCTAAATTGCTTATCGCCAGTGTAACCTAGGATGCTCAGATATGCGGCAAGCCTCTTATGTGATTCGCCACGTGGCTTGACGCCTGCGTGAACGCAAGACCAGGGCTTGCATAAACCCTGTTCAAACATCTGTTCGATGCTAGGCTCATATTAGTATAACATTGGTGTAACGGCCAAACGAGGGTCACGCGAAGTTGAGACTCAGTGCGGAAACCATTAGTAGCATTCTCGTCTGCCGCTCAGTCGGTGCTATTAAATCATCTAAGTCTATGAATGGGTATTTGGGTGTCGTGTATTTTGAGGGATGATAGTCGATGTCGACGACAAGCAAGCTGGTCAGAAGTGCAACTTGAGCTGACGGCATTCCCCCTCCACGAACCAAGCTTCGAGACCCAACAAAATGCTGCAGTCTTCCTGGAACGTCAGGCGACCAATGTGTATGCCCAAGGGCACCGTTTGACTCTCTTCGACTGCACATACCAGAGCACCACTGTCGCCCGGGGCGGCGAACGGGGTGCATTCAGCGATCCAGTTAACGATGCCGGCCCACTTGTGCATGTCGTGCCACCATAATTTCTCCAAGGGAATACCGAGATCCTTGATCTTGAGCTTTTCGTCGGGGTTGTCTCTGACCTCCTGCTTCACTGGTGCATACTAGGCACCTTTCATGCTGAAGTGTATGTTCGTCAGGATACCGAAGGTTTTGCCGGTCGTGAAACCCTCCTTGTACACGCGGATGCCTGGTCTCTGCTGTATCAGGCTGTTTATTTGGAAGACACGCGTGGCCTCCCTCTCCATATCAAATTCTCGCGAATGCCCGTTGGCTCCGTAGTAGTGGAGATTTACCCGGGGTAAAGCGGCCTCGATCTTGTGCTTGTCGTCGTCCTGAACTTTGAGGATTCCCACTTCTCTGGCCATCTTGCTTAGCGGATCAGGATAGCGAACGCGCAGGTGGTCGGCCTTGATCTTCTCCAGGGTGAGCCGATGCTCAATCTCGAAGGTATATTCTGTGGTAAGTGCATACAGGCCTGCCCCGATATCATCCAGGCCCATACTTTCCCAATCCCAGGAGAGGTACCGTTGCGGTCGACGATGCGATCCCCAGTATTCAGTGCAAGGATCTGACGCCCGCTTGCCATGTTCGAGTGTGCAGTCTTGCGATCCACAACCATGGAGACGACGTTGACCCAACCCAGCAGCAATGTTTGCGTCTCAACCGCTTGTCTGCTCCAAAACACACTTCAGCACGTCTCATGATCGTCTTTGTCGCTTTGTAGTCGTCAGGGTGTAGAAATTGGGGTTCGATATGCGGAGGTTCCGAAGCCACACAGTCCGGTTATTTTGGCCTCTAGCATGTGACGAAAGTGTTGACTTCAGCGTTCGCTTCAGCCGTGTCGCAGTACTGGTCGAGAACCGAGCGACGTGCCAATTTTCGCTTTGTCGGTAATGAAGACAGATTGCCGCACGAGCAGCACCCGTGCGTCGGCAGTACAACAAGTAGTTAAAAGGCCGTCTATCGACGGAAATTTTTTGGGCTGTTGTTGTCGCGCTCGCGAAATCGACTTGGGGAACTGACGATGTTAGAGGTGTCGCAATGTTGAGAATCCATGTGGTCGGTCGAGAGGTTATCTCACTGCTTGGTGCGTGTAGGGCCACTCCTCCGGTCAATGCCGCGACGAAAAGGTCCATCACAGCTTTCGAGCGAGTGTCAGCAGCTCCGTGACCGTGCTACGCATGATGGCCAATCGCAAACCACTCCGAGCTAGATCCGCGCCGTTGAGCAGCTTGAAGATCAGCATACGGCCCGCACCGCGTTTGCGGCCCCGCCCGGTCGAGGACAGTCATCCCAACAAGTCCACCAGTGAGGGCGAAGGTTGAGGAGCGCCGTGCAGATGTCTGTCGCAATAGGTTTTGCTTGGTTTCGTCCGGTTCCAACGCGAGTCGAGTAAACCGTTGTAGACGCGATGGCTCGATGTGGGAGACGAGTGGGGCAGAGAGGTGGCATGCTCTCTCCGGTCTTCCGAGCCTCACCCATTTCTGGCAGCTGCATCGTCGCTCACCACGTGTTCAGCCCAACACATGAATGTCACAAATGGACACGATAATGCAAGGAAGGATATGCGCAATGGATTTGGAAAAACTTGGGTCATTGCATGCTAGTCAACGAAGGGCGCATACGACACCTTCATTTGTGCGGACTGCGGCCAGGGCATCTTGAGAAGAAACTGGGAGAAGCTCGGTGCAATGTGTGCTGGTATTCATATTTACATAATATGAAGACTAAACCAAAAACGGTGCCATATAACACATTGCCGGGACCTCAATCTCCTACTCCAAGGCGTGAGCTGAAGAGGAGCTCACAATCGAGCGGCATTCATGCTTCTCACGATGAGCAGCAGGGCAACATCCGGAACAACTTGCGCGACCTCCTTCGTCCCCATCACCTCCGCCACTGGCTTTGTGGTCGTTGTCTTCTTGCGTCCGATGGCAGTCGCGCTACCACTGGCACCCGCGTTTCCAGGCAAGCTGTGGCGCCCGTGATCTTTAACTTCCTCTAGGATTGTGAGAGCTCGTCAATCTGATCTCGCGGAACGTAACTCTCAGCGGAATCCCTCTGCCTCTTTCGGGTTCGTGGTATTGATGTGTGGTTGCTGTTGGTGGCCTTTGACTTTGAGGTCGACTTGGGTGTTGCCACGCTCCTGCGAGGCGTCTTTGGATTTGCCGTGGCTTGGGTGGTGTGAGAACGGACAGAAACCGATCCGCGAATAGCGAGTGCTGACATGCGTCTAGCCTCTTTCAATTCGTGACTCGCCTTCTCTATAGCGCGAGCCTTTTGCCAAAGGGGAAGTGCATCCTTGATAGCTTGGAGCCGATCTGCAAGCGCCCAGTCCAGGTGGCTCCTCAGGATCGCTTGGGCCTTCGCGATCTGCTGCTCCATAGACAAACTGCACGAGTACAGTTCTTTCATAAAGTATTTTTCATTGTCACCCCCTTCGCTCCAATGTAGCCAGAGCTGTAGCAGCATCACATCGCATGTAACGGACATGTGCATCGTGTAGGCCGAAGTCGCAGGTGTGGTATCGCCGTACGCGGACTCGAAGTATTGCCGATGGTAATTTACGATCGTCGCGCCGTGGAGAGCAGACTTCTTCATGGCGTTAAGGATGGAATGTCCGTCTGCTGCTTCCCACTCGGCAGTGAGGAACGGGAAGGATAGTTCGGGGTTCAGCTTGAAACTAGCAATCTAACGTCAGCATGGGAATCTGGCGAGTGATCGTCAACTCACTTCTCCAGGAGCTCGTGATCCTCTTCCGTCAACCCTGAGTCTACACGGGTCTCGGTATCGCGGCGATTCAAGTACCCAATGGCGAGATCCGGTTTATATCTCAAGGCTTCCGAATCGGAACTTGGTAGGATTGGGACAAAGTCTGTCGTCAGGGTATAGTCGTGGCTGATATCGATGTTGGGTATGCCACGTGCGTAGCCGGTTCGCTCTCCCTGAAAGAGCAGCAGCGGTTCCATCATGTTAACAGCACTCTTCTTGTCCATAGAGCGGGCCTCCCGATGCTGATAGACGATCTCTTGTGCAGCATGAGCTTGTTCAGGCATGACCGGCGCGTTCAGCATTTGCTCCACACGCTCACTCAGCTCTTGTGGGAACGCCTTGTCGGCACAGTCGACGATCAGGTTGTGTTCGACTAGCTCGTTGATTGTGTGCCTGAACCTTTGGGAGGACGGGGTGGTTGGGGGTGCCATGTTGAACGAGGACGGATAGATCAGTAGGGCGAGTGAAAAGATCGATGACTGGCTGGCGCTTGTCTAGCAGTCACGTCGATCATTCTGAGCTCAAGGTTGCAAAATGCAATTTGTTTGCGCGATCGCGAGAGATATGAGCGATACATGGCGCTAATCCCATGATGGACGATGTCTGCAGCTTTCCGCAAGGCGCCTTGTCGTTCTCGCAAGCCTGACCGGATCTTCTGGTATGAATGGACGAAGGAGCAAGTGTGCCTGTGGTTATATCGTAGCAAGCGATCATGGACGATAGTGATTTGAGATGCGAGAGTGGTGGCTAGGAATGGAGTTGTGGGGTGGAGGAGGACGCGCTGCGCGCCAACCCTGGGAGCCCCCGGCACACGCCAAGCGAGCTAGTGCGCGTCACCTGTACACTACCACACCACTCGAGATGAACGACATTGACCCGGGCAAGATTGTACAGCACGCACCACCAACCTATGTGTGGACACTTACGCCGGAATGTGGACAGTGAGCGCAGTGCATCGCCGAGGCAAGTCACCATTGCGCCTTCCAACAGGCGCCAGATAGCTGGTTGACATGCAGGCATCGATCGAGCCGGGCACGACCTCAGAGCTCGACTATTCTCGCTTCGAACCAGCACCTCAACCTAGGGAAAACCTGGACAGGTCTGGAGCCTACATCGATGTTAGGCCACCTAGTTTGCAGGTTTTCTTCTTGATGTAGCCTCTAGGGTGTTTAGTTTTTCCCTTGTATGAGGTGCCAGCTCTCTTAGCGTCAAATCCGCGTCGCTTGCCACTTTACAGACTTACGGGCACTCGACATGCCTTCGCGAACCCTCCGCTGTCAACAATCTTTATCTATCAAGAATTCCACTCACGACACTGGCGCCACGAATACTTTTGGCATCCACTTCATTGCGTTACAGACTAGTTGGAGGTTCGCGAGGGATGGAACGAAGATCGCATGTGCCGTGCATGGGCGCTCCAGCTGTTCATTGGCGAAACGCGTAGTCACGTGCATGGCGGACCTGAGCTCGCTTAACCCCTGGCGATGACGGCACGCGCCCTGACTAGCAAAGCTCCGAACCAACCAACACGAGAATCGTTCCACACCAGCAAAGTAGCGCCGGCGCCAGCCCTATCGCATTATGGCGACCCTGCCTGGTATAACCGCCCTTGCACGTAGCCCGCTACCCCTCCCGTCATCTACGAGCCCTTCCGCATTTCTTGTCTTCATTGTTGGCGCGCAATCGTGTTTGCTAACATACACCAGCTTCGGGCAAGCCACGCCGCTCCACACGCAGATCCACACGCTTCGACTACGCCGAACCGTCGCCAGAATCGGAAGACGAAGAACACCTTGCCGAGTGCGTCCTTCAAGAGGAGCGTCGGGAAGATGGCGTACTGTGGTACGAGGTCAAATGGGCTGGCACCGATCCGAAGACTGGTCTGCGCCACGAGCCCAGCTGGATCCCGGCCGATGGAGCAAATAAGGCGTTGAAGAAGGACTGGGAGAGACTGAAGAGACTCCGTAGGGCCCGAGATGCTCCCGCTGCTCGTACTGCCCGTCAGGTTGGAGCTCCCCGTCAAGCTCAAGCTGAGCGTTCCGCCGGGGCTGCCCGTCAGGCTGAAGCCGAGCGTCTAGCTGAAGCTACTCATCAAGCTAAAGCTGAGCGCACCGCCGAGGCTGGTCATATCGTTGAAGGCGTTCGGGTGGATGAAGCTGCTCGGGAAGCCCCAGATGGTCGCGTCCCCCATACTGCCACCGCTCCCTCCGCCGGCGGGGCTGCTCCTTCGGTCGCAACACTCGAAGCCTCTGATGACGACGAATTCACACTTGCGCGCGAGTATCAACCAATAACTCCCCGGCGCGAAGAGCGCGCGATGCGCATTCTACATCAACCTTACGAGTCCTTGCGTCGTACTCGCCAACCCTCCTGCGATCGACCTCTTCCTTCAACCGAACAACCGTATACACTCAGTGCTAGGCAGACGACGGCACCCATCTTCACACCTACGCCGCGCTCCGCTGTCTACCGTTATCAGCCCTACCCATACAGCAGACCACCTAGCTCACCACCTATACGACGGCCTGAGTCATTACATCGGCTAATGGCGGAGGTAATGGCGGAGTCGGCGCGAAACGCTGCAAACACGGAATTGGACCGTCAATGCTTCATATGTTTCGATAGCGTCGAGACTTTTGAAGCGGATGGTATTCACTACCAGAGGCTACGTTGCTGCGGCATGTATCCCATCCGTCTACTCACCAACACCTTGACTGACTGTACCAGGGAAGCTCAGCTGCCACAACTGCTTACGGAGTTGGCTTGAGCGCGCAGACAAACCGGACGTGTGTGCGCACTGCCGACAGCCTCTCCAAGAGTTCGAACTGCAACCAACCACTCGCGAACCTTCAGCTATGAGCGAGACGCCCTCGCCGACACATACACGACGATTACGACCACTGACACGACCTTGACGACTCCAATCCATCGAACACACCAAACGGCATCGCATATACTCACAGCATGTAGCCCAGGCATGCAACCGGCTTTGCGGCAGTTATAAAGCTTGACAAACATGTCTGGCGAGGCCCAAGCATATAGGAAGAGCAATACAATAACATTTGATAGCAACATCATGTGCCATCTGGTGAAAGCAGGCGATCTTAGAGCCTGTTCTGCAGAAGCACCTGATACAAGGGGAAAACCTGAACACCCAGGAGCCTACGTCGCCGTTAGGCCACCACCTTCGCAAGCTTTCATCTTGATGTAGGCTCTTGGGTGTTCGGTTTTTCCCTTGAATGGGGTGGAAGTACGATCCTGGCTTTCAGCCTCGCTTCATACTGAAGATGAATTTGGCTTTTTCGAATCGTGTAGTACGCTCGAAACAAAATGAGAAGAAGTGTGCCATGCGTTCCTGCACTCTCAATGGAATCGTGACGCGGAAGCGCTCAGAAAGTTTCTCGTTCTTTCTACAGCACATGTGAAAACGTGCGCGAAGTTGCTCACCAACCACCGCAGATACGGGGAGTCTGAGGATTGCGATGCACTCCTTATAAACGAGGAAAATCTCAATCATGGATACTTTGTCATGCGCGACCAGTGATCTACGCGATATCGCCAGCTTTATTCCATTGTTCTCGAACTCCCCCGAGTCTATACTCTGGCAGATATGCCAGCCGTGGCTGTTCATCTCTAAAGAGCCGCGAAGCGGTACGCCAGTGCCAGCTGAACGGTGTGCGACAATCACCCAACCCGCGATAAACAAGCACCTCGATTTTGTACCCTTTCTTTGCACCTTGCCAGACTATGTCAATGGTGTAGTCTGTTAGACAAGAGTTACATGATCCATCTACAAGGCTGCAGGCTAGAAACGCGTCTGGGCCGGTTCCTTTACAGCTGGGGAAGTGGTGTGGGATATGAATCAGGATATCCTCGCTGAAGAGTAAGATGTTTGCACACTAGGTGTCCAGCGCGGTCGATGTGGTCTCGGAGTGCTAACGGGTCACCTCGGCGATGAGTCATGGATATGGTCGATAGTATCAGGAGTTGTTGGTTGAAGATGCGTGCGTGCTGGAACCTCGAGTCTATGACTCCATCTGTGTGATGGGATGACCGGGCTTGTTCGTTAAGCACGTGAAGAGGCAAACCGTAATTGCGTCCGTAGAGATGTCAGTTTATGACTAAGCGCGCATAATAGTAAGGAATCTGGCAGGTAATTAGGATGTAGAAGTAGTTGTCTAGATTTCGCTTGCATAGTAGACGCTCTAAGTAGAACAGAGCTATCGATCTACTCTAGCGCCTATGCCAGCGATGCAGCTTCGTACAATGGTAACAGTAATAGATGTATAGAATGTCTCTTTTAAGCGACAGCAAGAGCGTCTTCTAGTCTAATAGTATTAGGGGCATACCGCATAGGTTCTAGAGACTATAGAGGCTCTTGCAGGTTAACAAAAGAGACGCTAGAGAGCATCTATTAAGATGCGCTACAATTATTAAGATAATCTCTGCGGGAAGATTAAGAGCACACGTTAACGGACCGTACATCTTCTAGAATAACCTTTTTAAACAATTAATAGCTTTCTGTGCAACTATAACTAGGTTTATAAGATAGAGTAGTTACTAATAGCTCTACTAGAGAGGTAAGACCTAGAACGCTATTATTTTAATGCGCGGGTATAGCTATTGTACTCTAAGTATAAAATACGATATATTAATTAAAGAGCTAGCTTGTTTGTGTAGGTTAATAAGAATAGTTAACGTTGTAGTTTGTGTGCAGTAATAGTTCTAGTATTAATAGAAAATAGAATGTCTTTAATCTAGTTATAAGCTACAAATCTTTTTTGTTATATACGCGCTGTAGAAGTATACAGTTATTATAATCTAGTTCTACTATAGTAGTGTAACGTCTAAATAAATTATCTTTCTTAGGTAGATCTATAGATAAGTTCTAGTTAGTGCTAGGCTAACTTAATTTAACTAGAACGTATTAATAAGAAAGAAGAATTAGTACGTAATATTTAGCTATATAGAACTAACCTTTAGCTAACTAGTATTTTATAATCTCTATATTTTAGTACCTCTATATAGCTAAGTTTCTTAGATAAGAGATATTACTACTTAAAGAGCTCCGCTAGGTAGGCGAGAACACTATTGTTATAATCGCTGCAGATACTCTTTATTAGTCTAGATTACAATACTTGTTATAGACTAACTTAGTAGTATAGCTAGGTAGAGCTAATTGTAAATCTAAACAAGAAAACGCGTATTAGCAAATATAAGTATTTTTTAAGAGAAATTATATAGGTAGTCGCAAATACATAGAATATAAGTAAACTAGAGCTGTTATTAAAAGGAATTGCAGGTAGTGCTTAGCACCTAGGTAGTAGCGCACTACCTCTATGCTATCTGCACGCACAAATCGTCTATCTAGTTACTAAGTTTTATAATAAGCCTAACAAAGGTGCCTTAAACGTATAGATAGTAAGTAAATATAATAGGTATTAAGTTCCGCGCTGCGGAGAAACGCGCACAACAAGAACATCTGTGGCCGGTACGTAGAGATAAGATTAAGACATAAGCCGCACTTGCGCAAAGCTTTAACTACAATTATAATAGGGTAATAGCCCGTAGAATAAGGAAGCCTGCTCGTCGCAATAACACTAGAAACAACATGATGAGCGCAACGCCTGAAGAAATAGACATGATGATGCGGCGTGAAGTTCGTGACCACCATGCCGATTGTGTAACAATGATCGTCGTGTGTGGTACATAGGTAGGAGCGACACGTTGGGGCGGTACCTGAGACTATGCTACCCGCAGCGACACAGGCGTGTGCGAGCAGTGAGCACCTCAAGACGCTTTGCTACGCCAAGCAATATGATCTCGTATCTCCCGCTGTGGCGAGTGATGGAGATCCCCATTCGCGGACCCAGAAGTGCTACGGCGACTTGCATGTGCGATACGACAATCCGACCAATAACTGTCATCCGGCACACGGGTGAAGAGACGATGTGGCATGGGTAAGGTGGATTTGACGCTGTCGTTGATTGGAAAGGGACGTGCAGGCGATCGTACGAGATGGGTTTCCCACAGATTTGATAAAGGTGGCATGACCTTCCATTTGCAGTCGTGTTCGTGACTCCTGCAATATACTTCCCGTATACTGTTGCCATCATCTCTTCCATCTCTCTCATTTCGATTTCCTCCATAGCCGACTTCGAGCATCCGATATCATCATCCTTGAGAATGGAGATACTTCCAGCCACTCCCGGAAAGCGCAAGTCGCCCAACGAATCTTCTGACACCCATTCCCACCCTTCCACTGTAGAGCTCTTCTACGACTGGCCCTCCGATCGTAAGATCCCACCCGAAGACGCAACGGTCGTCTACATCAACACCATGGTCGAGGCGAAGAAGCTTTCAATTGGGGATAAGATCGCTGCGGTCCGTGAAGCCATGGCTCATCTTCTACAGCGCTTCTGGACGCTCGATGGCCCTGCATGCGCGAAGAAGCATCCCCGCGAACGTATGCGCACGAAGAGTCACATCAACGCTGTGTTTGGTGCGAAGGACCTCCCGGATGCAGAAAAGATAAATGTAGTCCGCGCAGCCGCCATCCATCTTCTCCAGTGCTTCACTGCAGTGATCGAGAGAAATGCCCCTGGTAGCGTCGGTTCGGACACTCTCGAAGGTCATATTAGGGACTTGCGCGCCTCGGATGGAGCATCCACCAGCATTAGCAAGAAGACGAAGATTGTTGTCAACGCTACCCTGTATTTGCTGGAGGAGTTCTGCTTGGTCGACCCGAACACGTGCATGACGGTCTGCGAAGATGAGAACGGATCTGACACTGGCATTGGCTGTGGATTAACGGGTGAGAGGGTCTTTCATGCTACAGCAAGCGGTGCAGGCGATTAGTGTGGCCCATGAGGGTTAGATATCAAGCCGCTCCCCGTTTCGGCGTACTGTGGTTCCCTAGATCTGATTCCTATCTGGCACTTCCGGCGATTATCGTTCGTCACTGCCGCAAGGATTATATGAGTCCCCGGTCGTCGCTTAATGATGCATCAGACATGTTTTATGACGGAGCTGGCGGCACAACATGAGATATCGAGCTGGGAAGGTGACAGGGCGGTATCGAGCAGGACTTCTGTCATGTACCAGTCCCGGGTGTCGGTCCGGCATATCGATAAAGCTGAATCTATCGCATCTGTCTCCAAGCTGTATGTAAGACCGGGATACGCCCAAATCAGAAACAGCTCATTAGACTGGAGGTACTTCCAAATGGGAACGAAAGAGGGTCAACTCTCTACTTCTATACCTTCCCACGCTTGGCCAACGGTTCTTCGCTCTGGGATGGTTGACGTGAGACTTCCGATTCATTTTGTTTCTCGTGGGAAAAGCGTTGAGCTAGTTGCTCCGCCGTCGGTCGGAGCTCTGCCTCCCATGCTAAAAGTTCGACCGCAATATCCCAGAATCCTCGGTCGTCTACTCTGGCTGCGGTTGTGTCCATGATATCTCTGAAGGATTTGTAGACTGGCGCCTGGCCTAGTTTTCGATGAACTTGTTTTCCTGTGAGAAAATCGACCAGAGTGACACCAAGACTCCACACGTCTGATGGGAACGAGAAGGGCTCCGAAGACTCTTCTTCCTTTATTCGCATGACCTCAGGAGCGAGATATGTCATCGTCCCTCGATTGTGGCGAGTGCTGTGCGGGCCCAGATCGCTGCAACCAAAGTCCAGGATGATGACGTGCACTGGGCTTTCGGAGCGATAGCCTATATTTTCTGGTTTGATGTCCCGATGAAGTATATTGAGGCTGTGGATATGTGCAAGACCGGATCCAATCTGGCGTATGGACTCGCGAAGGAAAGTAGTAGACTCAGGAAGATGTGTCCAGGTTGGGAGTAATTGCAGCGCGGAGGAAGTTGCCGGCGGTGACATAATGAGACCCACAGTCAGACACTCATTCTGTCGCCATTCATGTGGATTGGCTGACGCGTCCCAGTTTACGACCTCAAGGAGCTTACATACGTTTTCCTAGACAAAAGTTTAGTTTCGTTTCATCGGATCCAGCGCATAACATACATGACTGATACGGCTCAAGATGCCAATCTCTCTTCTTAAGTCACCGAACTGCGAGGCGGTGCATTTGACCATCTTGACTGCGACTGGCTTGCCGTTAGACTTGTCAAAGCCCAAAGATACAGAACTCGTGGCGCCATGGTGATTAGCATCATAGATGCTGTAGCCGTGGTAGTCAATAGTTGGCTTGGATGGTGTTGGCGAAAGCAGCATCACGGAATTCGGAGGCATAGCGTTGACCTGTGCTAGGGCTTCTTCGAGTTCTCGTTGTTTCTGCTCCTGGCTCAAGTCGGTGTACACGAGTACGTAAGTAAGATCACCCAGCCGGATGCTGGTGCCATGTTGAAGGGTAGCTTGGAAATCTCGTTCGTGCTGCGGCTTTTTGTCGTCGCGTTGAAAGGTTCTGCTGTCCACAGTAATCTGCAACCATCATGAGCAAAACGCGCCCCTGAAGAGACACAGGGCAATACCTTTCTGCCATCAGACACGGCAACCATGACGCCAGTTTCAAGCTGACGTCGCAATCTGCAATGACGTGAATGAAGAGAATTTTCAGTGGTGAATGGAGCAAGAAGAAAGTCTACAAAGTGATCTGGCTTGTTCAGTCTTGAGCTCCCCACAACCCAGCCTAAGCCTTGACTCGCAGGAGGAATGGACATGTTGAGGCGGTAGTAACCGCAAAATTCTTGGAGGGGTTCATGCTGGGGTGAAGGGGTAGAAGCAGCGAAACTGCTTTCAGCAGTACTTTCGCTGGACAGCGTGACTTCGTAGTGAATGTACTGGCGCACATGATGCAGCTTGCTGCTATCGGACTCGAGCAGGCGGACGACTTGGCCAAAGAGTCTGCGTGCCGCTGGAGAATGCGGCACCAATCGCGCGAAGTCACCATTTGACACTCCATGATGCACGTTCTCCCATGAAGTTACATCTGGCAGAGTATCCCCTGGTGAAGACATTGGTGTGATAAGAGGAGAGGACAGGTCAGGGGCGGCCTCGGAATGTATGGAGTTGGGTAATGCGGGCGGGGGTTACCCGATACGGTTAGACCGGCCAGTGAAATAGCCGCCAGCCCTGGAGTGTTGGGACGACTTCGACACGCCCCTTCAACACCCTGCCACCGACCGCTTGTGCATGACGTCGCTACAGCACGACCTGGCATCGCCGCCGCGCTCGCCGGCCATACCCGATGCGGTGCTTAGAATCTACGAGGAACAGTACATCACGAAGCCCCTGCTGGCGGCACTGAAGAAGCTGCAAGACCAGCTGCAGGCGGCCGGCACCACCGACGCACCACCCAAACGGGCGTCGTATGCCAAAACACCCGAACTCGCCTGGGGCCGACTATCCCCACAACTTACACCTACTCCATCGCCCTCACCACCGCCCAAACGCTCCTATCGCAGTCCGCCATCCTTTCCAACTCCGCCTGAGACGTCACCCCAGCGCGGGCACTCGGCCTCCGCATCGCCTATCAAGCACGCCGCAGCTGCTCGCAAATCCCGCCGCAGACAATCGTCATCCTCCATACAGCCATCTTCCACGATGCTCCGCCGCTCACGAGCCAGAGAAAGTCGAGCTACGGAGAGGCAGTTTTGGGAACTGGATGCATCGGGGCGGAGAGCCAAGCGCGTCGTAGGTGGGTGAGCATCACAGTGATGACGGTACTACAAGACACAATAGCAAGCATGAGCAGGATCGACGGACAGCATACATGAGGAGGTTGGGTAATCTTCGATGCAGACCATGACACCCGGGCGGAAATCTTTACTGAACTCATACCGACGGTTCGCTTCGTTGCACGCAGTCCACAGCTTCTGCTACATCGTTGGCTGCTTCATCCTGCTGTCACGAGACTCGGAGGCTCTGAAGTAGACATGATGGTCTGGGCTTGCGGTGGAACGTGTAAGGGATTTGAATATACCCCCAGAATCACTACCGCGATCACGTCAGTGCCTGAAGGTGGATGCGGTATCACCTTCAACAGCAATGAAGCGTTGAGTTCACTCCCGAGCGAGACAAAGTACGCACGACGCGATGCATTGGAGCGTGGGTTGAGTCGGTGATTATTTGAATAGGGATGAGCGAAGATGTTTGCTCGGCAGGCGTGAGGATGAAGATGATGACAAAGTTGGGTCTGCTCGTGACTAGGTTTCTGGAATTAGTTACTTGCGTTTGAGCAGCCGCGCAGGACTTTCCGAGATGGCAGGGTTACGTCTTGGGAAGGATCTTGAGAGTCATCATCGCGCATTCTCGCGCATTCCGTCGCGTGCGCAATGCAGAACTATCTCACGACAGACCTGTCATTTCTCTTATCTACTCAACTCAATCTCTGCCCAGGTAGAACGGTGAGGTTGCGGGTTGGGCTGGTATCCATGATCCTGCCCACCGCGAACAGAGCCGGCGCACTAGCCGCATTCGGTAACGGGCCTTTGCCGCCACTGGTGTATTTACTACCCACACCAACCCCAGACTGCGGCACCGACTACCAACGTCGCAATCGCATCGAATATCGGCCGCACGCTATACCAATTTCTAAGCGCAAACAGACACTTCACGTCTACATACAGCCCATACTTAGCGATCGCAAACTCGCGAGCCCAACACATCCGTCCCGCGGGTCTCACCCGGACAGAATCTTGTGACAGCCTCGCCGCCGCTCTCCCACCGCTCGCAGCGTTTGTCGAGCATATCTTCTCTCCATGCCTGTCTCCGACCCCGCCAAACTCGCACTCATGACGACTGACCCTTCTACCTCTTCTCTTTCCCCGCTGCCTAAGTCGCGCAAGCGATCCAGGTCGACTGACGAAAGCGACTGCCGCAAGCCTGTGTCTAAGATCACCGTTGTCGAGGATCTCATTCGCGGTCAATATACCGGTCGTTTCGAAGATCCTACTCTCCGCGACCTGGAACGGTACCGAGCCGTTGTGACTCCCTCTGAGTTCGTTGATCTCATCAAGTCCTTCGACGACCAGCTGCGCCGGTGGCTAGTGAACCATTTGACATACGATTGGAACGCCCTCACCGGAGAGATCATTCTGCGCAGGATGTCGCCTAGCAACCTTCACGACGTTGTCGCCGCAGAGATAGGCCTAGCCTTTCGCGACCAGATCGTCGCCCTGAAACGGATGAGGAACGTGTCCGCTGAGATCAAAGCTCTCGTGGCGAACATCAAGGGTCCATACGCAAATCTTGCATCGCCTGCGATCGTTCATGCTACAGAAAAGTCCGGTGACCCCAATGTCGACATCCTACTGACGAGCAATCGACAGCCCGACAATTCTTTCTACTTTCGCCATCGTTCCAACATGCCCATCGTCATCGAAGTCGGCAATTCTCAAGTTGGCGAGGAGCTCACAGAGTTGGCGGAATCTTGGATGAAAGACAGCAGCCGCAAGACAAAGACGGTCATCACCGTTGATCTGCAATACCAAAACCCAGCCACGAGAGCCGACAATCCCCGTACACCGAAGGCGGCTATATCCATCTACCGCGTCACCAAAGACTCGTACGACAAGAAGACATTCACTTTCTTCGACTTAGCAAAAGGCAAGCAAATCACGCGAACCCTTCGCCTTACTTTGGCCGACTTCCTTCCTATAGAGGAGATCAAGAAGTTTCCGAAGGACTTCAAGTTCCCTGCCATCGAGATTACTGCCGAGGAACTCCGCGATATCCTGCAACAAGGTGATGAGCGGCAGCAAGATGTGGACAGGGCGTCTCTCAGTCCCGGTAAACCTCTTCAACCGTCAAAGAAGCAGAAGCGTCAGCCGACCCCGTCCTCGACGCCGCCTGTAGTTTCCCAACCTGTGCCCGCACCAGTGGGAAGGTCGGGAAGGCCTCTGGTGAAGACTAAGAGGTATCTGGGTGAGTGAATGGTTAGGGAAATAGATCTCGGACTTGGGAGATGGTGCAAGGATAAACCTGGTGAGGAAGGCGTTGGACTTGATGATACCCTATATGATCTTGATGTTTTAGTTTGAATGAAAGGAGCACTTGAAGAATACCACAATGTTTACAGCACCTATCCCACATTCGACAAGGCAGTAAATACCCTCAGGCCTTCATACTAACTTTTCCGTGACTATCGCAGCATCATCAAATACCTCCAGGGTTATCGGTGAGATTTTCCAAGACGCTGGAAGCCTTGGTGAGAACCTCCAGCGCTACCTGTCCATTCTTCCGCAACGCGCGTGGCATGAGAGAATGCCTCCAGGCGTACCCTTCAGCCCGCCCCAGATTTACCGGACACGCGGAACTTGACGTGTCTATGTCACTCCTGAGCGTTAGTTCGTAGATGCTTCATCTGGCCAAAGCCGTGATGAGATAGTTCCAAGGCGCAGGAGAATCAACGCGCACGCGAGGTGATGGAAGGGCCTCGGCTCAGCCGAGCAGCCGCCGCATTTGATCTAGCGCGGAGCAGCTCCCACCTCAGCGCGTCACTTCGCCGGCCCACGTCTTGACATCCATCCCGTTTTCGCTTTGTGCTGTCGCGCACGACCGCAATATGAAGACAAGCGTCTCTCCGTTGGAGCGCTGTGCTGCCAGAACATCTCCTCAAATACTGCACCGATGCGACACGCTCAATCTCGAGCTCTAATTTTACGACAGGGTCTCTTCTACCAGCCTCCACGACCTTCATTCGCGTTGCGCGCTTCTAAGGCTGTGTCTCGACAACCTATATCATGGGTCGGCTCAACATGGCAGATGCATATGATACCGCGGCCATTGTCACAATACCCTGTTTCACGAAGACCAGTGGCCTCCGCATCCGCACATCCCTGGTATACATCCAGCCTTGGCTACGCCATGGACGCATGCAGACACAAAGAACGCGACAGTACTTGGACCACGAACCATGTCTACCTTACGCGCAGAATGATCCCATGCACTTGATCTTTTGCTTGCACGGCATAACGGATACAGACACCCAGGCCGTTCTCTTCTCTTGTCACCCATACCTTGCTATCAAATACGCCAAACGCTTATCTCTAAAATGACTGGAAGCAGGAGGCCTGCCCGAGGAGCCCGAGGAGCCCGCGTGGAACCACGGAATCATCACGGTATTCCACCCGCTCCCAGACCAAAGAGACGCTACAAGCCCGGCACCGTCGCCCTGCGCGAGATCAAACGATACCAGAAATCTACCGACCTTCTGCTGCTGAAGTTGCCCTTCCAGCGGGTAGTCCGCGAGGTTGCCCTAAGCGTCTCGCGTATCGATGGCCCATTGCGCTGGCAGAGTCAAGCTATCGTGGCATTGCAAGAAGCGAGCGAAGCCTTCCTAGTAGGCCTGTTCCACGATGCCAACCTTTGCGCCATTCACGCCAAGCGCGTCACGATTCAGCAGAAGGACATTCAGCTTGCGAGGCGGTTGAGGGCGGCCTGGGGCGCGCCTGTGTGAGAGCTGGCATAGGCGGCCGTGGCCATACGACCTGCGAAGAGCGTCGCAGTAAATTCGGGATCACCGACCGAGTGGTGGGGAGTGGTACATGTGCTGTAGTTGTCGGAAGTATCTTGATTATAGGGTGAGGCGAGGAAATGGACGGTGCGACTGATGTTTATCGCCCCGCACCCCAGACTGGTTTGACTATGCATTCAACATTCCTCACCTCAGCGCTAGAGACTCTTGCTGTAATATCTGCCCGGCTACAGGCTCCTTAGCAGCCACTATCACTTGCTCTTTCCGTTGTTCTTCTTGATCGTGGCGTTAGTCCGTTTTTAGTTAGCGTGTATTTCTCATTGGTCGCCATCGGCCGCGACGCGACCTCATCTCACAACACGAACAACATGCGTTATCATGCCGAACACACCCAGCAACGCCCGCCGTGTGTTTGAGCTTCGCCTTGCCCAGAGTGCGCTGAGCCCGCACGACCGAACCGCCGCGCCCACGCCGCTGGCTGATCTGCGGACCCTCGACGACCTTGTATGGACCAAAGAGGCTGTCTGCGTTGCCGCGCTCGTGCTGGGATTCCAGGACTACTACTGCGAGGACCTTGAGGCTTTCGAGAAGCGCGTTCAAACTTCACTCGGAGAGACAGGTGGCTGCAAGAGCTTCCAAGACGTCTGGCACAATATCAAGGGTGTCACCGAACACTGGGGCGCAGACTGGTGGACCGTCCTCCAGCGACACCAAATCCGGATCCAGCAAGTACCGTCGTTCAACCTTGCCGTTTACCTGAACAAGTACTCGAAAGCTGCGCAACCGCTCTCAGACGTTGTCGCTGAGCTCCAGGCGTTCGACAAGGTCAGGCGTCAAGATCTCATCAGTGTCCAGCGGAGATACGATCCTACTAATCCGACCTACTTCGGTCAGACTGTACGTATCTGAGCCACAGTTGGACCTGTCACATGCACTGACAGCGTGCTCTCACCTTCACAGGCTCAGCGTCTGGACTGCAAGTCGTGGCGATTTTTCAAGGACCTCATCGCGTGGAGGGACAAGCGATCGAACGACACCCTGGCCGCAGACGTCTCTTCTGAGCGGGCGCGCCGCCTTGAGAAGCGTCAAAATCGCCTATCTAACTCGCCTGACAGAAAGAAGAATCGCAAACGGCGTGCAGTGATACCAAGGACACCAGCTAATCCTCGGGATCATTCGCGTTCGCAATCAGTCGAGCGACCTAGACGGGGCCCATCAGAATTACCAGACGACGACACGAGCCTCTTTGAAGACCATCGAGACTCACTGTCATTCCAGGATAGCACACTCCAAGAAGAAGACCTTCAGGACACACTCAACAATCAGGAGAGTCCCTTCCATCGTAACAGCATCACTGACCTAGACACTTCTCGTGTCACCGAGGACGACCCGTCATTCGGGGGCGACGATATCATCCAGCCATCCACCCCGGTCCATAGTATAGACCTCATGTCACTCAAAATGCTCGCGCAGGATCCGGACTTCCGCGCGGTCATGCACATCATTGTCAAGAAGAAGAAAGAAATCCAGTCAGCCAAGGAAGACAACTCTCAAGCTACATTTCATCTTGCCCAGGCGCAAGAGACCGCTCGTAGTCATGCTTTGGAAGCGCAGAAAGCACTGCAGCTGAGTACCTTGCCAAGCGAAGATAGCCTGGAACAAATCAAAACGGAATTCTCCGCTAAGCTCAAGGCTACCCAGGACTACAATGACCATCTCGCAGGAGACATCACGGCGATCACCAACTTCGCCCGCTTGGGGGTAGCCTCGGCGACCCAGGACGTGACCAAACTAGAAGCCATGAAAGATGCGTGCGAAGCGGAAATCAGGCAGATAGAGCATCGTGTCACACAATATGGAGCGTGGGCTGAGAAGATGGGCGCCGCAACGAGGGAGGTAGAGGAGGCGAAGGATTGTTCTCGAAAGGCAAATCAAGTCCTCTTGACAGCGGATGATATGATGCGAATAGCGGAGCTGTGGCTGGGCAAACCAAGTGCTAAACTCTCCATTGAAGTACTGGAAGATCTTCTCAAGGAACCACTGGAGGGAGAGTAGATGATGAGTTCGTGTTAGACGTCAAGCCTGTTGTTTCGATTTCGTCATGTTTATACCCCTGGCTTAACAATGAAGCTCGTGAATTCCACATGTACACACTGGGCAGCTTCTGGGTGCTCGCTACGATTGATACCGATATCGATTACCAATTGTCTCCTTCGCCAGATGCTGTGATCGCCTTCATACTGGAAATCCCTGTCAAGCGCAACGGAACGATGAAATTGGCATTCAGCAATATTGCGATGGGTCGTCGCGATCGCAAGGCGCGATACTTGGCTGTGAGGTCACAATCAGGGAATAGACTTTGCCTATAACAACATTCTGAATGCGCGTCACTTATCGCAACATCCCTGCGATACGTTATGCTATGTGGTGTTTATGTCGAATACGGAAATTGAGACTTCATAATTACAGGCGTACGCTGGAGTATATACCAAAAAGCGCAGAACTTGGTGAGCAGTTATGCTTTGGTTTTCCATGTCGTAAAGACAGGGGCTACGCAGTGGAGAGGACCGCTGGGGTTATCGATGTGCGCTTCCGCATTGACTGCATGCATGCACAGAAGCGATGTACGGTACTTTGACGGGTCAGAACATCCTTTATTAATATCATGACCGAAATCATAAAGACGCAGTCTCGTACATCTTGGCAGCTTCGTGGCGATGGCTGAGCTCTCTACACGATTTTTACATTGTCGTTGATCGCATAGCCTCCCGTGTTAGATGTGATATGGCTTTTGATTCAAGAGACAGATATCTCTAGCGCTGAATTTCATTCCGGTATTCTTTGCTATTCGATGCGCATGCGATACTCTTCTATCAGATCTAGCTCTAGGTATTGTATGTACCTTGAAGCTGTCGTTTGACAAGACTTGTTCTGTTGTCTTACAGAAGGAGGTACTGTTATCACGCCACTTGGACTGAAGTACTAGACCATGTTATGCTCTCAAAGTACACATTACTTCTTTGGCATCTCTGGGATGAGTGTGCCACGTATCCATGCATCATACTGCATGAGTTCGAAAAGAAGGGAGTGCGCCTTTGACTACCTTAGAATGCGCCCTGGTCTTGCTTCGGGCTGGATTACTGAGATTGTACCTAGTCACTTTGGCACACGGCATAGTTGCGGTAGCTCTAGGGACTACATGAATTCGAGTGGGTCGAATGGCAGATGCGGAGATAAACGAAGGAACTGGGCCCTAATCGAGAGCGACGAAACGAGGATATAAGTTCTTGGTCACTTCGTGTTCGCCAATCTATTTATTGCCAGTCAACACGATCTGTAGAGGCGGGAAGGCTACATTGTCTCAAGAGCTGGTGAAACTTTTAGTCTCGTCCCAATGTATACCGCACCGTACCTTTTTATTTTTTCTTTCGCATAAGGTGGGTGCGACGCTCAGTG